ATTTTATTTTAAAGAATTCGTTAGATTTCAATGTAAAATATCAAGCTGTTAACGCTGATCACACTTGTGTTATCCGTATCTGTTTATCATCTGACATTGATTGAAGCGTAACGCAAAATCTAACTTCCTACAGTACTTCTCAGTATGTAATTAGAAACAAGGATATTATTGTCACAGCACGAGCCAATATCAGAGAAAGGTCCACGTCCCGAAAAGTCGTTAATATGCTAAGAAAGGAGAAGTTAGTAAGCAGTATATTTTCTCTTTGAAACCAGTCTATAAATAGTAACAACCGTTACATATATCGTTAATCAAAATTAACGATAATAATTTGATTGTTACTTAGTTACTATTTACGTAATTTTTAAAACGTCATTTAGAATTTAAAAGTATTTAATTAAAGAGGTGTTGGTGATCGTTGGGAGGGTTATATGGACGTGTCTGAAGATGTAGATCTATTGTTGTGGTATTTCTTTCCTTTGAATGACACTAGTAACAGTTGTCATATCTACAAAGAATGGATACAAGTAGATAGATTAAAAAAAATAACTACTTGTAGTCTCGTGTAAAAAAGTTTAACTGATAGTTTATACTTAACAATTCAAGGTAATCCGATTAATCGAGCTTCATAACTTGTATTAATTCAGGAAATTAATTAATAAAAGTTGATTAGCGCTTCGATTAACCGGATGTTATTCATCAAAAACAAATTTTTTAATTAAAATAAACCTGTTCAGTTTAAATTTTTTTAAATGTTTAGATGTTTTTTAATTATTTATTATCGATATTTAGATTTTATGATTTACTGTTCATATACTGCATGATATATTGATACAGTTGATATAATAAGAAAAACAACGCGTTACAAGTTATATAATGACGTTTATTACAAATAAAATATGCAGAATTTATATTATATTATTTTATTACGCATTATTTTATGATTTACTATTGATATACTATTATTAATATGTAGATTTTTTTGGTTTATGTTTCCTAATCTAGAAACAAAACTATAGCAAATACTGAGGTATTTGCTATAGTTTTGTTTATTCTATTCGTCAAATATTTTAAAAATACATTATTTAATATATAAAACTTACTTATTCAGACTTTAATAGATGTAACTTTATGTTTACCAAAATAAACACATTTTAACCACATAAAAATACAAAATTCATGTATTTTAGAATAACTAAAATACCTTTGAAGGAACATAAATGATTTTTTGAGTTGAAATTTATATATATATTCCATTATTGTTTAAGCTTCTAGTATTAAAATGTATAAATAGATTACTGTTTATCCTCGATTTCCTCCTACGTGACCCAAAGAATTAAATAAATATATCTTTTTCTAATTTTTTTCATGGCTTGGAATTTAAAATTTCCTGAAGCTTTACATCGATCCTATTAATTAACATTGCTAGAGTCATTATGTGTCATTAGAAAGATAAAGAGACCTTATCATTTAGATTTATATAGATGTATTTTGAATTTTTACACATCCGAGTAATAAGATATATATATATTTAATGTTCTCATATCGTCTTTACCTATCTTTTCAGCATTTATTCTTAGATAAGAATATTTATTACAGGTAAATTTAAAAATATATTATACATTTACATTCGTTCTTCAGATTTAATTATTATTAAATTACATTAATAAATTATACAATTAAAAGTATGTAATACTTAATATGTAAAAATATAGTATTTTAAAATAAAGCATTCAGAAAAATAAAGTGTTTCCTTATCGCAATATCCATTTGTATAGAATTTAATACAATTTTTTTTTACTGAATTTAACTGAAAATAATTTTAAAATTTTATTTAATTTTAAGTAAATCGGAAAAAGTAATAATAAATTTGTAAATTAAAATTTCATATTTTTAATCTTTTTTTTAATGTCCTCTTTGACGTTTAAAGTTATGTTAAGTCTGGTTTATGTGTCGAGTCAGCTTTTAACATCCTGACTCGCTAGAGAATTGTGTTTTTTTAGATTTATAATCCCAGATAAAGAAAAAAAGGAGAATAGTTGTTAATAAAATTAACGAGAAATTCTTGTAAATCTTAATTTGCTACTAGAAAACATGTTAAGGGAGACGTCATGTATGTATATATATGTATAAATACAGTTTGTATTCTCTTGATTTTTAAACCAAAAATAACAATATAATTTTTGACGATTACTTAAAAATTGCCTTTTATGATTCTAATTTAAAATTTTAATTTTTAGAAAGTAAATAAAAATTAAATGTATTTTAAGTTTTAATAATTTTTAGAGTTTTTCCAATTGTAAATTAAGTAAATATTCAAGTTTGTTTTTATAATACTGTAATTTTAATTAATAATATATTAAATATTAGAGAGATGAATTAAAGTTTTTAATGTAAAAAAATTATTTTTTTCTTTCAGTAATCTTTAAATTAAGTCTGTAAGCTATTTATAGATTTAATTTAAGGAACATCCCATATTTAATAGAGATTTATTGATAGTATTTACGACTTTTTTCAATTTTTTATCATTCATTTTTCAAACATTGTGTATAAAAATGTTTAATAACATGTTAAAGTCATTGAATATTCTTTACAGAAGGATAAATGCGCGAATTTCTTAAAATTAAAGCCATAGTTTATGGTAATTAGAATATTAGAAAAGCAAAGCACATCATACGGATTATAATAGTGAAATATTTATAATAAACTTTAATTCAGTTTATTATAAATAATTAAAGTGCACAAAAATATTATTTAATGAAAATGTAAGCTCTTATTCACTCAGTTTTATTTATATATTATTTATTTATATTTTCCAGACTCCTACCCCGTGGACGAATCTCCCAAAATTCCTAAGCTGTTAAGTTACTTGTATCAAATTTCAAGTTTGTTCTTCTTATAACAGACTGGGAAATTATATATACTGTATGTATATATAACTATCTTGAATAAATTTATAATAAAAATTAAAATATTGAAGCTATTTAAATACTTTATTCCTAAATATTTGTTTATGAGTGTATTTAATTCACTAGAGTAACATTAATTTATTAGTATTTAAGCGAACAGATGTCTAACTCAGTATCTACTTTCTCTATATTTGGGCATAGCCAAAAATGTTTGGGCTCTCCTATTCGTTTGAATAGGAGGAACTCTAAGAGGAGAAACTAAAGATTTCTCGTGCCCTTACTTAGGCAAACGAATCACGTGCACGTAGGTATACACGCACGATTTTCTAAACAAAAAATAAGCATTAATCGTATTTTAAAATAGTTCGAAGCTAAATATTCGTTCGATCATTTACTTAAGCTTGAATCATTATTCTTTATTGTATTAGTGACAAATGACATTGTCACGCAATAGTATACTAGTGATAAAGATTTTTAGCTCTATTTATAAAACGAACGTGTGTCACAAGTCTATAGGTCAGTCGCTATTCAACGAAGTGAACTGAGGATATCGTTTTAAGATGCAACAGTTGATTGTCCTGTCACAAGATCTCTAATCTATATTTTTCTCAGTTGAATTCACGCATTCACACTCTAGAACATTTCCGTGTAAATTATTTAGAACAGTTTCTTTTTAAAGAAATAATTTTAAAAATAAAAAAATTAACAAATTCGAATTTAAATTTATACTGTATTTCAATTAACTCGTTACGTTTTTTTACTCAATATCTAATGAAACGTCTGAATTTTTTTGTGACGACTAACTAAAATTATCAATTAAAAACTCCTAAATTTATAAATTAAATTACCGAATTTTCAAAGTATTTAACACATTTTCCTACTTTAAATTAGTTACACTAAATCAAAACCAAATTTTCCTATTAAGGAATAGGCAAATTTCTAACTTAAAAGCATTGGTCCCTTCTAGGAATCTACACATTAAACAGGTTAAAACCTTAATAAAAATTAACAGTAATTAATAAACACTATATTTATTGATTTTAAATCGGTATATTTATATTTAAATCTTTAAAAAATGTTAAAACGCAAGAAACATTAAAGTCATATAACAATAAGTACCGCTAGATCTAGTGACCTGCAGGATAACCATGAGTAGACAAGTTGACTACTCGCCATTAGTATCCGTTCAGAGAGAATCAAAATATAATCAAATTCTGTTACAGTCATTGGACCATGTAAAGAACAATAACTGGAACTCCATAATCAATTCTAACAGGAAAATCAAACTTGACAACTGCAAGGTCACACAAGTAGACAGATAAAACCTTTCACATAAATTTAGAAAAATTGTATTTAAAACTATAAAACTATTGTAATTTTTAATTATTTTCATAATGGAAACAATTTATTATTAATTTTTGAATTTTTAATGCTTTTTTCGAGTTTTGTTTACACCTGAATCAACGACCTCCATATTGATTATTTTTGTAGAGAAACCGTGTTATGAATGCGCTTTAAAAGTAATATCAGAAGGAAGTTGTAATAATTTGTAATAATATTATAATGTGTAATAATACGTAAGGTATTACAAAAGTTTAACTTTTTATCAAGAAATTTGAAAAAAAGTGTAAAAATAGTATGCAAGTACAAAAATGTGCTTTTTATATTAAAATTAATTTATTAACAATAAAAAAAACGCCTTTTAAAAAGTTTTTAAAAATGTTTTTAATAAAATAAATATAATAATAAACACGAAAGAAAATAATAATGATAATAATAGTAATATTAAAGATGTTGTTTATTTCATGATCAACAACAATCAAAAACTGACCGTTTCCATCCGAAACTCACCTTTCCTATGACGTCACACAAGATTTGCGCTTGTAGACGGTACTTTGATTTTCGCCATTTTCTATTTACCTTAACCTAAAAATTTATATTTTTTATGTTATATCGTCAATAGATAACATTAAATAACTCGGCGGAAATCCGCGCTTTTGACTCATCGTCCTGCGTGATTTCATTTCTCTCGTGCGTAACGTCATACAGCTAGGCACTATGTGCGGAAAAATACATAGTGCCGAGGGTGTGATGAGTCAGTGCCGACAGTTCATCGCTGGAGTTGAGCTGGGTGCAGTTGTGTGGTTTTGGTGCAGTTATTTCCTTAGCTTTAACAAACGTTTGTTAACTTAACATACAACATGTGGGATCGGAGAAGGATAGGAAGGTTCTTAGGACTGTTTCTAACAGGTAAATTTAAGTTTTTGTATACTTTAAACTGCAGCGGTTACCGTATATATAATATACACATACATATATATATATATATATATACATGTATATACATTTCGTGGTAGTAACTTACATTACCAGCAGCAGGTATGAAAACTGCTATCTTTTTTTGTTTTCTTATCAGCGCGATCGAGTTCTTTGTAAAGATACAAAGCAAAAGAAGCGTTAAACTTACCTCAACTTAAAATGACATTTTGTCCCGATATGTCACAAAATATGTTACAGGATAGATAACTCAGACAGCGCTTGTGGCCGAGGGAATTTATTTATTCACGCGCCACAAAACCGGCTCCCACACAACATATATATATATACGTATATATAAATATATGTGTATATAAATATTATGTAATACTTTATTCCTAAATATTTGTTTATGAGTGTATTTAATTCACTAGAGTAACATTAATTTATTAGTATTTAAGCGAACAGATGTCTAACTCAGTATCTACTNGTAAAAGTCTTCCTTTTATTTTATTCATTATTATATATCTTAATAGATGTTATGAGATAAAATTTTATATTCTTTTTTTTAAAGATAAAATTAGACTTTATTTTGAATAAAATTTAAAAAAATATATATAAAATATTTTTATAAAATTTAGGGCAATACACTGTACTGGATAAACGCCAAGTAAAAAAGTTAAAAAAGAATTTTTAAACGATGTTATATTAAAGTTAAATTTAATCTGAATAACATTATATTAAAATGATTAAGTTTAATTTGTGTTAAATATTATTTTAAACGAAAAAATGTATATTATTATCTGATTTAATAAAATTCTAAAATTACAAATTAGTTACGGGGTTTATTAATATATATTTTTAAAATATATTTAAAAGAAATAATTGAGTTTTATATACCGGGGTAGCCCAAAAGTCAGTTATCCATTGTAATGGCTAAATTATTGTCTTATTCAAATACTTTATTTTTTTTGTGAAAGAACACGGTTTAATACGACTCATGTTCGAAATCAGAAATTCGGTTAACCGACTTTTGGACCATCCTACGTACTTAAATTTATTAAAATAACAATTATATTTTTAGATATTTATTAATAAATATGTATGTATAAAAATAATTGTTGTTGTTAAATAAAATCGGATTATTAATGATCATTTATTTTAAAAATTTGAAAATTTTATTTGCTCTTAATTCTTATCTAACAATGTATGTAATCTTATCAACTGAATATGACTATAAAAGATAATATGTTGAAATAATACCTTTAAACTCCATAAAATTAATTTTAGAAATTAAAAAAGTTAAGTGGAATATACCTCAAAATTATTCAAAAATTCATATTTACTCGAAAAGAAGTGTAATAATATTAATTTATATCAATAAGAGAATAATTTTTTCTATCATTGGTATATCTTTAAATATTTTTTAAATAAATATAAATGATTTTAAGAAAATAATAATTTAATTTTTTAAAGAGATGCAAGCAAAATTTAAAAAAAAAAACAAATGGTGTTGAGCGTTAAGATATCGAATGCCATAAAAATTCCGTTTTTAATGGTGCTTCCTTTCAACCTTTCACCCGCACGTGACCGCGCGTTTGCTTCATTAATTAAAGTGTTCTTTTTTTTTGAGGGGTTTACTTGTTAGTTACTCGACTCCGATATCTTGGACTGCACAAACAGCTGACGTCAGCTGGTCCGAGTTTTGAAAAGCCAAAAGCACTACGTGAAATCCATATCATTTAATACAGGAATACATTAGAAAATGATTATTTTATACGGGGGTTTCATTTTCCACCTTACTTAATTCCCTGTTTAATTATAATGGAGAGCCACCTGTAGATTTTGCAAGGAGCAATTTTGATTTTTATTTAGTTTTTTTTTTTGTTTTGTAACGGAACTTTTGATGAAAACACACGAGTCACAGCTGCGACTAATAACTTGGAACGGTTATGTATCAATGCGCGTCCTTTTCTAGTGGATCATCAGTCGCTTCCATTGCCATGGTAACGCTCGTTTTGTTCTCATTCGTTCTGCTTCCCCATCCTATGTGAGCTTCGTGCGTGGAATGGTTACAGCCGTTGTCGGTTTAAAATTCATTTCTTCCATGCGATGCTTTCTTTCTTTTTTCTTCTTCCCCCTTCTTCTGCTTTTCTTCTTCCCCCTCATTTCGAAAACGGAAGCTCCTTGATCGTGACGTAGTTACCGGAAATGGTACATTCATTTTACTTCGTTTACCGTATCTGCGAGCTTCTTTTTTCCTGTAAGTGATCTTTTCACCTTTTCTCTTTAACCAACTCTTGACACTTGTCTCAATCAAAGAAAATGTAGAAAGAAAAAGATATATAACAAGTTATATTTTCTAATTTTTTTGAAAGTATTACTTTTCTCTCTCTTATCTTATTTCGAGTTTGTAATATTTAGAAGTTTAAACAAGGTCATTGATGTAACCTTAGGTAAAACAGTTCTGTACATCGACGCCAGGGGGCATTGTGCGAACTTCCTCTTCGACAATGATCTAGTGGAGACTACACCCCGCGTTTATACACTTACTTGTAAATTCAAAAAAATTCTATATAAGTTACGTTTATGCGGGTAGAAAGATAAAATGCCCAAGTGTTTTGTAACGTAATCAATAAATATTTTGGAGTTCGTACCATTTTCTTATGTTCAGTCGATGTTTCAAGATTTTTTCCCATTTCTCGCACAAGATTTCTTCGAAATGTATTAAAATTGTTTAGGTTTTATTTTATATTATTTCTCTCTTCGTATAAGAAAATGATTTACATAAAACTTTAAAGGACAAAAAAAAATATTTTAATAAAAATCAATCTTGTTGGTAGTGTGCCAAATGGATTGGTCTTTCTATACTAAAGTTTGTAATTTGTTTTCTCTATGTTGAGATAATGACCAAAGAGACAAATTTTCTTTCTAATTGTAATTTTTTTAAAATTAAATTTCCATTGTTTTAAACGAGCATTCGTAATATTTGAATACGATTTATTGCCAGAAGTCGTCTTTGCATATTTTCGTATATTACAACTGAAGAAAAATGAATATGTAAACAGAGTTGCAATATACAAAAATATGAAAAAATGTACATCTGTGTAACCGATGCAGTTTTTTTTATTTAGATAATAAGAAAAATATATAAAATGCCAAGTTATAAAACCGCTGTAAACGCAAGTTTCTATAAAAGAGTATTTACGAATCGTATTTTTGTATATTAAAGCTCTGATTAAATATTCATGTAATCAGAGCTGCAGTATACAAATATATTTATGTAACTACTAAAAGATTTTTTCCAATAATAAGAAAAACATGTGAAATGCATATAATGATGTCGCTGAGAATATAATTTTCCATAAATCTGCCTATACAAAACTGGGGAAAATATATATAGACCTATATATGTAACTAATAATTATTTTTTGTTTTAATAGTAAGAAAAATACCTTAAGTACCAACTTACGCAACTACTGCAAACTTAAATAACTTTCTATAAGATCAACGTGTTTACAAATCTGTTTGTCTTAGTATATTAACATTTTTTACTCCTCTCAAACTTGTTTTACACTTTACTGCCTTCTTAAGTAAATAATTCTTGAAAAATATTGAAAGACACGATAAACTGTGATGTCTGCTTGTCACTAATTTGGATTACATTTCCAGAAAGGATGATAAAAACATTGGCATCTTGTCATCTTTTCAAGATACATATTCATGTGTAAACTACTTACTTACCAAATGTAATCCTGTAGAATGTTTGCTTTGACTTGACGGAAAATATTGAATTTGGGATCAAATTTTACCATATATAAGGTTAATGCAACAAAAAATATTTTCTACCTTAACTCTATAACTTTCAAGCTAAAGGTCCAATACTTTATTGAATCACCCAAACCTGCATTATCCAATAAAGTGTCAACGTTTGCTACGCCATGTTGACTTTCATACTCTCCATAGAAAAACAATATATCCTGTCCGTAAAATTAGTTTTTTATAGAATATAGTTAACTTTATTAATTAATAAACTTTCTTAAAATGTAAGCTTTTTGGCGATGATTCAATTAATAAAAAAAGAGTTAACATATTTGGAAGAAATTCTTAATCATGAACAATGAGTCAGATTTTAAATTGATGAATAATAACCAGAAAAAATACTTTTTAATACAAAAATATTTATAAATAAATAAAAATTAAATTTTATTTTATTTATAAATTAAACATTTTATGTCTTTCTTTCATTAATTGAATTTTTATAGAAAACTCAAAAACTGTTTAGAATGGAGTCAATGTATTTTGTTAAAATTAAATAATTAAAGTTGAGTAATGTGCTAATGAGAAAAATTACAAAATAAAATGAATCATTTTAAAACTCAATATTTAATTAAGTAACAAAAATAAAACTATTAATTGGCAAAGAAAACATTTCATTTTATAATTCAACTTTATTTTTTCTTTCTTTATCAATAGACTATACATTATTTATTTTGTTAATTTTTAGTGCCAACATTTTGTCTATTTTATTTTTATTTATTTATTTATTTTTCTGAAAAGTGCATTAGTCCTAACTTTTTTTTTTTTTTTGAGAACATTAATTTCTAAACCATCAGCAACTTTCAATTGCTCTTATTTTAGGAGCTAACAGCAATTTACGGTTTAAAAATGGTTTAGAAATTAATGTTCTTCTTGCAATCAGAAATTTTATTATTTATAATAAATATTAATTTTATATTTAATACTCTACAATAATTTGATATTAAGATGGTTCTATTTTTATTTCAGTTTATTTAGTTATATTCATAGTGAACAAAATATATAAGAAACATTTCAATTTATTTTGTTAATTTTTAGAACCAAAACTAATTTTTTTCTTTTTTAGAAAACAGTAATTCTTACTTTTTAAGAACGTTAATTTGTAAACCATCAGCAATTTTCAATTGCTATTAGCGCCTAAACTAACAGCATTTGAAAATTGCTGATGGTTTAGA